TCAGAAACTTAAAAAACAAATATACTCTGGGAAAAAATAGGATTTTTTTTTGAAAAAAAAAAAAAAATTTTTTTTTTGAAATAAAAAATATATATTTTTTTTAAAAAAAATATATTAGAATTTTTTTTGATATTTTTTTTTTTTTTTTTTTTTTTTTTTTAATTGAATATTCAATAAAAAACAATAACAAAAAAATTTAATTATCCATAAAAAATATTTTTTCTGTTTAAAAAAATTCATAGGAAATATTTTTTTATTGGAAAAATTTTTAAAAATATATATCCATGGAAAAAACACAAGTGGATTGAAATTTCATTTGAATTAAAAACAACTACAAACTAAATAACAAAAACAACAAACTATGGAAAATATTTTTTTTGTTTCTATCAGAAACTTAAATACAAATATATCCTGGAAAAAAATAGATTTTTTGGATAATTTGGATAATTTTCTTCTTTTTTTCATTGAAAATTCAATAAAAAACAACAACCAAAAATTTAATTTATCCATGAAAAAATATATTTTTTTTTGTTTTAAAAAAATCATATGATAATCTTTTAATCTTTAATCTTGTAATCTTTTTTAAAAAATATATATATTCATGAAAAAAATCAATTTTATTTTGAATAAATATATATATTTTTTTTAAAAATATATTAAAAAAAAAAAATATTTGTATTTTTGCAATTATTTTTTTTAATGAAAATTCTATTGATTATAAAAAAACAACAACAAAAAATGATAATTTATCAGTGAAACATATTTTTTGTTTAAAAAAATTCATAGGAAACATTTTTTTGTTGGGAAATTTTTTATAAGAAAAAATGTTTTTTTTTGATATTTTTTTAATTGAAAATTCGAGTGATTATAAAAAACTACAGAAAATGATAATTTGTCATTAATTTTCAATATATATCCACGGAAAAAATTCAAATTTTTTAGAAAAAAAATATGAAAAAATTTTGTTTGATAATATTTTCCTTATCTTTTTTTTTTTAATTGAAAATTCAAATTTTTATAAAAAAACAACAAAAAACATGTAAAAAAGCTGTAACTTTACACTCCACCATTTGGAAGGATTTTGGCAAATTTCAAAAAAGTAAAATCCGTTAAAAATTCTGTTAAAATATTAAAAATACCGAATGTAGCCGTTATATTAGGGTCTATACGACGACGTGGACATGCATAGGCAACTTTTGTCATAAACCATTGCAATATTCAAATGCGAAACTTGAATAAAAAAGTTCGGTGAATAATGTAGCTAAAATCATCAAAATACCTAATATCAGGAGGTACCGTTATATGGGGGCTATACCAAAACTTCGACCTACATGACCCATTTTCTATACCAAAAGTCCTGCAGACATAATATACATTTGAGTAAAATTTTATCACTCTACTTCATATCGTTTGGAATCTAGAGTGGTTTCTACGGACGGACGGACATCGCTAAATCGACATAGAATTTTATGCCGATCAAGAATACATATACTTTGTGGGGTCTAAAATGTATATTTCGAGGAATGACAAACTTCATATACCCTCCATGCTATGGTGGAGGGTATAAAAATTAAAATTTATGCATGAAAAAAATATTTTTTTTTTATTTAAAAATGTCATAAGAAATATTTTTTTTCTTGGAAAAAATTTTAATAAAAAATATATGGAAAAATCAATTTTTTGTTGAAAAAAAAAATTTTTTGGAATAATTTTTTTTCACTATTTGAATATTCAATTGCTTTTGAAAAACAAAAACAAAAATGATATGTTATGTATAAAAAATATATTTTTTTTGTTTAAACATTTTTTCTCGGGAAAATTTTATAAAAAATAAATATTTCTTCATATTTTTATATTAAATTGACAGAAGAAATTCTCATCATATTTTCCTTTAGAAAATTAGATATAGATATTTTTTTGATAATTCTCTTTACCCTTCTTTCTCTTCAAAAGTAATCCTCTCTCTGGAGAAAAATATTCTTTCAACTCTTAACGGCATCTTATAATACTCCCACAAAAATTGGAATGGAATATTAAAAGAGAAAAACATTCCCAATAAAATTTTGACATTTCACAATCTGGTTAAATCGACTCAAAAAGCCAAAAATTGCAACGGTTTCATTTTCAAATTTTAACTGGAATTTCTTGTGCAAAAAACCGATGATGTCTCAAATGAATCATTTTCAACGTTTTCTCGCCTCAAAATAAAAATAGACAATAACTTCATTTGAATTTATTTGAATAAATTTTTGGTTTATTGTTTGGCTTCTTTAAAACGTGAATATATTCCTAAAATGGGTTCACAATTTATGCGAATTTTGTTTGGTTTGGTTTCGATTTTGGCAAATTCCGGTTTTGGTCTAATTTATGACGTTTATTTTTTTTGCAAATCACAAAAATGCTTGTCGATTTAATCAGCAAAATTAAGTTATTTTTTGGAGGAGGGGGGGGGGGGGGGGGTGTCAGGCTAATAATTTTAGTATTAGAGAATGATATTATCGTTTGCTTAGATAAAAATATATTGTATTGTAGTCAAAATAACTGAAAGCCGCTTAAATTATGAAGGAAGTAATATCGATAACAACTTTTGTGTAGAGCAAAACTGTCGATAACAACTTCTTAGCTCAAAGAAGTTATCGATAACAATATTTTTTGGAGAGAAAAATTGTCGATAACAACTTTCCGAAAAGAAAAGTTATCGATAACAACTTTCCGAAAAGAAAAGTTATCGATAACAACTTTCCGCAGAGAGAAAATTATCGATAACAAGTTTTTTGCACTGAAAAGTTGCCGATAACTACTTTTCTGCACAGAAAATTTGTCGATAACAAATTTTTGACATAGAAAAGTTGTCGATAACAAGTTTTCTGCATAGAAAAGTTGTCGATAACAAGTTTTCTGCATAGAAAAGTTGTCGATAACAAGTTTTCTGCATAGAAAAGTTGTCGATAACATGTTTTCTGCATAGAAAAGTTGTCGATAACAAGTTTTCTGCATAGAAAAGTTGTCGATAACAACTTTTCCGCATAGAAAAGTTGTCGATAACAAGTTTTCTCCATAGAAAAGTTGTCGATAACAAGTTTTTTCCATAGAAAAGTTGTAGATAACAAGTTTTCTCCATAGAAAAGTTGTCGATAACACGTTTTCTCCATAGAAAAGTTGTCGATAACACGTTTTCTCCATAGAAAAGTTGTCGATAACACGTTTTCTCCATAGAAAAGTTGTCGATAACAAGTTTCCTCCATAGAAAAGTTGTCGATAACAACTTTTCTCCATAGAAAAGTTGTCGATAACAAGTTTTCTCCAGAGAAAAGTTGTCGATAACAAGTTTTCTCCAGAGAAAAGTTGTCGATAACAATTTTTCTCCATAGAAAAGTTGTCGATATCAAGTTTTCTCCATAGAAAAGTTGTCGATATCAAGTTTTCTCCATAGAAAAGTTGTCGATATCAAGTTTTCTCCATAGAAAAGTTGTCGATAACAACTTTTCCGCATAGAAAAGTTGTCGATAACAACTTTTCTCCATAGAAAAGTTGTCGATAACAACTTTTCCGCATAGAATAGTTGTCGATAACAACTTTTCAGCATAGAATAGTTGTCGATAACAACTTTTCGGCATAGAATAGTTGTCGATAACAACTTTTCGGCATAGAATAGTTGTCGATAACAACTTTTCGGCATAGAATAGTTGTCGATAACAACTTTTCCGCATAGAATAGTTGTCGATAACAACTTTTCCGCATAGAATAGTTGTCGATAACAACTTTTCCGCATAGAATAGTTGTCGATAACAACTTTTCCGCATAGAATAGTTGTCGATAACAAATTTTCGGCATAGAAAAGTTGTCGATAACAAATTTTCTGTATAGAAAAGTTGTCGATAACAAATTTTCGGCATAGAAAAGTTGTCGATAACAAATTTTCGGCATAGAAAAGTTGTCGATAACATTTTTTTTACAGAAAATATTTCGATAACACCCTTTCTATGCAGAAAAACTCGAACATATTGAGGGTTCTCTATGGTAAAGTGTTCGAAAACCAGCTTTCCATTGTTCTCTTCGTAGTTCGTTTTTTCATTCCCTCCCCCCCTTAGGCCAATTACTGGGCCCAATTTGTTATGCGTTTCCTCTCCGTCTGCTTTTTTTTGACATCTTTTTTGTAGATAGTTTACTTTTTTGAAATAAGAATAACGTAAAACACCTGCTTCCACTTTTGTTTTGTTTAGGTTAGCATAAATTATGGCCCGGTGGTGTTTTTGTTTTTTTTTTGCTCAACTAACTTGGCCATAAGTGTGAGTAAGTGGTGAAGCCACATTTTGCGGCAATAGCCGGTGGTTGGTTGGTTGGTGCCAAAATTTCTCATTTCATATGGCCGTTTTCGGACCACACGAAAAACAAAAGGGAGACCGCGATAGGTGGACAGACAACCCAGTTGTTGTTGTTGAGGGGGAAGAGTCTAGGCCAGACGTTATTCTTGCTAACCAACTTTGGCTACGCCATAAGTTTTATTGGCGTCTTTATTCATTGTTTTGGCCATTTTTGGATTAATTTTGGCAATTCTTTCTGGAATGGCCAAAATATTGACCACCTGTATCGCCACATGAATCATGGTCAGCAAAACCCCAACAAATTCTCTGGAATTTCACAAAATATTGCAATATCTTTTCAACTTCATTTCTACTATTTTCTTCACATTATTTATTTATTTATTTAATATTTATTTCATTCCTAATCCAAACTTTAATTTATAGTTTTTAATTCATTGTCATTTACCACGATAATAATTGCTTCCCTTCTCTCCCTTGTGCTGTTGTTATTATCTTGGATCTATCATCAACGTCGTCTTCGTCGTCGTCATCGTCATCGTCATTATCGACATTTGGAAACATTTTCACAAAAATTTCGTCACCACTTCGACTGGTGCCTTGTGCGTTTTCCTTCGCTCCGTTGGCTGTGTGTGAAAATTTCAATTTGGTTTCCCGGAATCGCTTGGCTACTGGTAGGCGAACGACCTGCCATTATAGCGCCACCAGAAAGTGAATGGTACCATGGACGTTTGGATCGCTATTCTGCTGAATCACGTTTACGTGGAAGCAAAGAGCAGGGCAGCTATTTGGGTAAGTGAGATGAGTTTCTTGAGAAACCAAAAAAAAAAAAAAAAAAAAAAATGAATGAAACTCACAACAAAACAGTTGAGAAGTTGTTGATGACAAGTTTTCCTCACAAAAACTGTCGGACAGAAGTCTTCTGCAAAGAAAAACTGTCAACAATAACTTTTGACCAACAGAAATATATCGTTAATAATTTTCTTCCATAGACAAGTTACCGATATCAATTTTTCTCTGCAGAAAAGTTATCGATAATTACTTTTCGACACAGAAACAACTTTTCTGCATAGGAAAGTTGTCGATAACAGCTTTTCCGTATAGAAAAGTTTTAGATAACAACTTATCCGTGTAGAATATTTGTCGATAACAACTTTTCGGCATAGAAAAGTTGTCGATAACTACTTTTCCGTATAGAAAACTTGTCGATAACTACTTTTCCGTATAGAAAACTTGTCGATAACAACTTATCCGTATTGAAAATTTGTCGATAACAACTTTTCCATATGGAAAACTTGTCGATAACAACTTTTCCACATAGAAAAGTTGTCGATAACAAGTTTTCGGTATAGAAATGTTTACGATAACAAGCTTTCGGTATGGAAAAGTTGTCGATAACAAGTTTTCCGTATAGAAAAGCTGTCGATAACAAGTTTTCCGTATAAAAAAGCTGTCGATAACAACTTTTCCATATAGAAAAATTGTCGATAACAACTTTTCCGTGTAGAAAAGTCGTCGATAACAACTTTTCCGAATAGAAAAGTCGTCGATAACAACTTTTCGGCATAGAAAAGTTGTCGATAACAACTTTTCGGCATAGAAAAGTTGTCGATAACAACTTTTCGGCATAGAAAAGTTGTCGATAACAACTTTTCGGCATAGAAAAGTTGTCGATAACAACTTTTCCGTCGATAACAACTTTTCAATATAGAAAAGTTGTCGATAACAACTTTTCAATATAGAAAATTTGTCGATAACAACTTTTCAATATAGAAAATTTGTCGATAATATGTCTTTCGTACGGAAAAGCTGTCGATAACAACTTTTCCGTATAGAAAAGTTGTCGATAACAACTTTTCGGCATAGAAAATTGTCGATAACAACTTTTCGGCATAGAAAAGTTGTCAATAAAAACTTTTCGGCATAGAAAAGTTGTCGATAACATCTTTTCGGCATAGAAAAGTTGTCGATAACATCTTTTCGGCATAGAAAAGTTGTCGATAACATCTTTTCGGCATAGAAAAGTTGTCGATAACAACTTTTCGGCATAGAAAAGTTGTCGATAACAACTTTTCGGCATAGAAAAGTTGTCGATAACAACTTTTCGGCATAGAAAAGTTGTCGATAACAACTTTTCGGCATAGAAAAGTTGTCGATAACAACTTTTCCATATAGAAAATTTGTCGATAACAACTTTTCCGTATAGAAAATTTGTCGATAACAACTTTTCCGTATAGAAAATTTGTCGATAACAACTTTTCCGTATAGAAAATTTGTCGATAACAACTTTTCCGTATAGAAAATTTGTCGATAACAACTTTTCCGTATCGAAAAGTTGTCGATAACAAGTTTTCCGTATCGAAAAGTTGTCGATAACAGCTTTTCCCTATCGAAAAGCTGTCGATAACAACTTTTCCGTATAGAACAGTTGTCGATAACAACTTTTCCGTATAGAACAGTTGTCGATAACAACTTTTCCGTATAGAAAAGTTGTCGATAACAACTTTTCCGTATAGAAAAGTTGTCGATAACAACTTTTCCGTATAGAAAAGTTGTCGATAACAACTTTTCCGTATAGAAAAGTTGTCGATAACAACTTTTCCGTATAGAAAAGTTGTCGATAACAACTTTTCCGTATAGAAAAGTTGTCGATAACAACTTTTCCGTATAGAAAAGTTGTCGATAACAACTTTTCCGTATAGAAAAGTTGTCGATAACAACTTTTCCGTATAGAAAATTTGTCGATATTTATTCTTTTGAATGAAAAGCTATCGATTATAGATTTTCTCTTCACAAACATTTTCGATAACAATTTTTTTTCTCCATAAAAAGCTTACGATAAGAAATTCGATAACTTTAAATTCTTCTTTTCTTTTGCCATAGTTCGTGAAAGTGATCGCAAGCCTGGCTCCTATGTTCTCAGCTATTTGGGCCGTACTGGCATCAATCATTTTCGGTAAGTCCCTCGTGTCATTTTCTAAATTTCATATTTATCGATTTTTATTATCGTTTTTCCTTTTTTCAATTTTTTAATTTTCCAGCATCACAGCCGTTTGTGGTGACTTCTACATTGGAGGACGTCAATTCAATTCACTTAGCGATTTAGTCGGTTACTATACCTCATGTAGTGATTTGCTGAAACGTGAACGTCTGCTTATCCCAGTACCGCCACCCGAACCGGTCAACGACAAGAAACGTGTGGTGGCCATTCTACCCTATACCAAAATGCCCGACACGGATGAGTTGAGTTTCCAGAAGGGCGACATCTTCTTTGTGCACAATGACATGGGTGATGGCTGGTTGTGGGTCACCGCGCATCGTACCGGGGAGCAGGGTATGATTTTCCGAGAGCTAGTGGAGGATTTAGATCCGGCCATAGATCCCAATACAGTATTTCCATGGTTTCATCCAAATTGCACCAAGAATGAAGCTGTTGATATGTTAGTCAAGGGTAAGTGGGGATGAGTGGGGGAAATGGAAGGAAGAACTAATTTGTGAATGATTTTTCTTCCAGCTGGTCCTGGTAGTTTCCTGGTGCGTCCCAGCGACAATTCCCCGGGCGACTATTCTCTGTTCTTCCATATCAACAATCAGATACAACGTTTTCGCATTGAAAAGAAGGGCGTCCGTTATCTGATGGGCGGCCGGACCTTCGAATGTCTGGATGCAGTGATCAATCGCTATCGCAAGGAACAAATTGTGGAGGGCCACTGCCTTAGCCACCCGGTGGTGAATGGCAGCCAACCCGAGTATAGTCAACAGTATGTGGTGGAAAAGGCGGCCGAGAAGATCTATGCCACCCTGCGCGAGTGCCGAGATCAAATTGGCCTCAAGAAAATCAAGGGCATCAAACACCACGGCCATCTGAACAAGAAGTCCGACAAGACAGCCAAATGGAAACAGCTGTATTTCGCCCTGATCAGCGAGTGTTCCGAAACGCATTTGTGCTTCTATGACAATCCCAAAAAGACTAAACCCAAGGGTCTTATCGATCTGTCCTGTGCTTATCTCTACCAGTGCCACGATTCGTTGTGGGAGCGTCCCTATTGCTTCCAAATTGTCGAGAGGGCCCTGCCCTGTTTGGCCACTGTCACCTACTTGTGTGCCCCTAGTCAAGAGAGCTACACAGAATGGATAAATGCGCTGAAGGCCCAGTGTGCCTCACAGCTGAGCAAGGCCCAGAAGAAGGTGCCACGTCTAAGGGAGTTGCGCTGCCTCAATTTACACATACTCGAAGCCCATAGACTGCCATTTAAACTAGTGCCACATCCGTATTGTAGTATTTCCCTGAATCAGGTGAAAGTGGGCAAGACAAAGGTCAAGATTGCCCCGGACCCAGTTTGGGAGGAGGAGTTTGTCTTGGAGTGAGTAGAATCGAAAATTTCCATGACAGCCTCATTTTAAAAATATATTCTTCTTTCTTCCCCCCTCCCGTCCCTAGTGATGTCCCACCAGATGTAGTCTCGCTAACCATCACCCTGGTCTCTCGCGGCAAGCGAGGCAAGGACAGCGAAGTAGCTGAACTCACCATCGACCTGGCCAGCCTCAAAAACGGCCAGGAAACCGAGGAGTGGTATCAACTAACCGGCATGACGCCCATGGGCGAATGGGGCTCTCTGCGGCTGCGCATGCGTTATCTGGATGATCTCATTATGCCCTGTGAAGAATACAGTCCCCTGCAGCAGCTGCTGCTGGAGCCCGAATTATATTCCGTCAAGGCCCTGGCCGAACTATGTCACAATGATCGTGTCCCCCTGGCCACCGCCTTGTTGCGCGTCTTCCGCCATGAGAAGCGAGAAACGGAACTCATACGGGTGCTCTGCCAAGCGGAAATTGCCCGTGAAAATGAGACCACGACCCTCTTTAGGGGTGCCAGTTTGGCCACCACCCTCATGGATCTATATATGCGCACAGAATGTACGGGATTCCTACAGTCGGCCGTCTCCGAGACCATACAACGCATCTTGGACAGCAAACAATCGGCCGAATTGAATCCCACCAAAATGGATGTCAACGACGACGCCTGCTCCAATGCTGAGTTCCTTTTGCAAATTCTGGATTTGGTAACCCATTCCATATTCACCTCGCCCGAGGCGTGTCCACGCTCCGTGAGATACATTTGCAATTGTCTGCAAAAGGCCGTCGTGGCGAAATGGCCAACGGAACGTTTGGTTAGGACTCGGGTCGTTTCGGGTTTTATATTTTTACGTTTGCTATGCCCATCCTTGCTGAATCCACGTCAATTTGGTTTGGTTAGTGAGACTCCGCCGACGGCAGCCACACGTTCGCTGGTGATGGTGGCTAAGTGTTTGCAGAATTTGGCGAATTTGATTGAATTTGGCGGGAAGGTAAGGACAGGCGAATTTTTTTGATACTAAACACATCTATGGAAGTTTCTACATGGAGAAATTGTCGATAAACAATTTACGATAACATATTTTCCGTTTTTTCCATATTGAAAAGTGGTCGATAACAACTTTTCCGTATGGAATTGTTGTCGATAACAACTTTTCCATATGGAAATGTTGTCGATAACAACTTTTCCTTATGGAATTGTTATCGATAGCATGTTTTCCGTATGTAAGTTTTGTCGATAACAACTTTTCCGTGTCGATAACAACTTTTTCTGTGTGGGAAAGTTGTCGATAACAACTTTTCCGTGTAGAAAAGTTGTCGATAACAACTTTTCCGTGTAGAAAAGTTGTCGATAACAATTTTTCCGTGTAGAGAAATTGTCGATAACAACTTTTCCGTGTAGAAATGTTGTCGATGACAACTTTTCCGTATGGAAAAGTTGTCGATAACAACTTTTCCGTATGGAAAAGTTGTCGATAACAACTTTTCCGTATGGAAAAGTTGTCTATAACAACTTTTCCGTGTAGAAATGTTGTCGATAACAACTTTTCCGTGTAGAAATGTTGTCGATAACAACTTTTCCGTATAGAAAAGTTGTCGATAACAACTTTTCCGTATAGAAAAGTTGTCGATAACAACTTTTCCGTATAGAAAAGTTGTCGATAACAACTTTTCCGTATAGAAAAGTTGTCGATAACAACTTTTCCGTATAGAAAAGTTGTCGATAACAACTTCTCCGTGTAGAAAAGTTGTCGATAACAACTTCTCCGTGTAGAAAAGTTGTCGATAACAACTTCTCCGTGTAGAAAAGTTGTCGATAACAACTTTTCCGTATAAAAAAGTTGTCGATAACAACTTTTCCGTGTAGAAAAGTTGTCGATAACAACTATTCCGTTTAGAAAAGTTGTCGATAACAACTATTCCGTTTAGAAAAGTTGTCGATAACAACTATTCCGTTTAGAAAAGTTGTCGATAACAACTTTTCCGTATGGAAATGTTGTCGATAACAACTTTTCCGTATGGAAATGTTGTCGATAACAACTTTTCCGTATCGAAAAGTTGTCGATAACAACTTTTCCGTATCGAAAAGTTGTCGATAATAACTTTTCCCTATCGAAAAGTTGTCGATAACAACTTTTCCCTATCGAAAAGTTGTCGATAACAACTTTTCCGTATCGAAAAGTTGTCGATAACAACTTTTCCGTATAGAAAATTTGTCGATAACAACTTTTTCGTATGGAAATGTTGTCGATAACAACTTTGCCGTATGGAAAAGTTTGTCGATAACTAATTTTCCGTATGGAAATATTGTCGATAACTAATTTTCCGTATAGAAAAGTTGTCGATATCAACTTTTCCGTATGGAATTGTTGTCGATATCAACTTTTCCGTGGAGAGAAGTTGTCGATAACAACTTTTCCGTGGAAAAAAGTTGTCGATAACTGCTTTTCCGTGGAGAAAAGTTGTCGATAACATCTTTTCCGTGGAGAAAGGTTGTCGATAACACCTTTGCCGTGGATAAAAGTTGTCGATAACATCTCTTCCGTGGAGAAAAATTGTCGATAACATATTTTCCGTGGAGAAAAGTTGTCGATAACAACTTTTCCGTGGAGAAAAGTTATCGATAACATCTTTTCCGTGTAGAAAAGTTGTCGATAACAACTTTTCCGTGTAGAAAAGATGTCGATAACAACTTTTCCGTGTAGAAAAGTTGTCGATAACAGCTTTTCAGTATCGAAAAGTTGTCGATAACAACTTTTCCGTATCGAAATATTGTCAATAACAACTTTTCCGTATCGAAAAGTTGTCGATAACTATTTTTCTGTCTAGGAATGTTGTCGATTACAAATCTCTTTTTTGTTTATTTTAATTATTGGTCGTTAATTTATTCCCTTTTCGCATTTCTAGGAACAATACATGGAGGTTGTCAATCCCTTTATACTCAAAAACAAAGAACGCATGATTGTGTTTCTCGATCAATTATCAATGGTGACAGATCCTAATCCACCGCCTGGCAGAAATTCAGAACAAAGCTCTAATCAATCGCCACAGGATACGGGTAAGAAAATATGTTTATTTTTTTGATTTCAGTTTTAAATTTTATTTCAATTCCAGGTCGTGAACTGGCCACCCTGCATCACATATGTGTTTCATATTTACCGGAATTGCAAGAATTATCGAATATACTTTCAATTAAGAAACTAGTTACCGTTACCGATATGCTAACGAAACATAAAATCAAATATCGTGAAATGATTAGCTAAGAAGTGAACAACATGAAAATCGATAACAATATCTTCGAACAACTCAACAACTCGAAAACGTAAAGACACTAAGCAAAGAAGAAGATGGTATGACAGTTAAGGAGACATCACAACAAGAAAATATTGAAAAAAGTATAGAAGAAAGACATTTTACCCCCCCCACTTTGATATTGAAGACATTAAAATGATGAGGTTGATAAATGATGGATGGATGGCTGGATGAATGGAGGGATGGTTGAGATGTGCAAGTAATCCTAAGCTGACTCTTTCTTATTTTCCTCGCTGTATTATCCTCTCTCACGCTCGAACCCTTTCTATATATCCTATCTGATTTTCCTTAAACAAGCAAAGCCAAGCAAACAAAATGGAAGAACATGGGAAAATAAAACGTAACAAAATCTCATTTCATTCAAAACACACATTACCAAATAATAAACTCTCTTTTTTATACAAATATAAACAGTAAATGAACAAACAAACAAATCATATTTATAATATCAGCAAATACTTCTAATATTAATAATAAAAAAAGACAACAGAAAACTAAATTGAAAAAAAAAAGAATAAAACTCAAAACAACCGCAAATACTTCTTTATAACGTACCACATTTATACATAGAGACGGAAACGGAAATGGAAACGGTCGCCAAAACAAATCTTAACACCAATTTACAACGATTTTTTATAGCAAAAAAGAAAAATCGTAAAATAATCGAGATTTTTATACTTTCCCCCGCCCCGAAATCCAGACCGACGATCAATTTATATACAAAAATTATAGAAAAACAAAACAAATTATTTAAAAAATGCTTATTTTTTAATTTTTCCATCTCCATCTATATATAGTATATGCAATAAATGCTAGAGGAACAACTGGAATGGGAACAATTTATTGAGAAATGGCATTAGCAAACAAAAATTGTTATCGATCAGTTCCTTACATACCACGGATAAATTTTCAATTTTTCTTGATGGAAAAGTTGTTATAGACTACTTTTCTATCGATAAAAGTAGTTATCGAAATCTTTTTTCTTTAGAAATGTTGTTATCGACAACTTTTTTCTTTAGTAATGTTGTTATCGACAACTTTTCTATGCCGAAAAGCTGTTATCGACAACTTTTCTATCGAGGAAAGTTGTTATCGACAACTTTTCTATCGAGGAAAGTTGTTATCGACAACATTTCCATACGGAAAAGTTGTTATCGACAACATTTCCATACGGAAAAGTTGTTATCGACAACATTTCCATACGGAAAAGTTGTTATCGACAACATTACCATACGGAAAAGTTGTTATCGACAACATTACCATACGGAAAAGTTGTTATCGACAACATTACCATACGGAAAAGTTGTTATCGACAACATTACCATACGGAAAAGTTGTTATCGACAACATTTCCATACGGAAAAGTTGTTATCGACAACATTTCCATACGGAAAAGTTGTTATCGACAACATTTCTATACGGAAAAGTTGTTATCGACAACTTTTCTATATGGAAAAGTTGTTATCGACAACTTTTCTATATGGAAAAGTTGTTATCGACAACTTTTCTATATGGAAAAGTTGTTATCGACAACTTTTCTATATGGAAAAGTTGTTATCGACAACTTTTCTGTATGGAAAAGTTGTTATCGACAACTTTTCTATACGGAAAAGTTGTTATCGACAACTTTTCTATACGGAAAAGTTGTTATCGACAACTTTTCTATACGGAAAAGTTGTTATCGACAACTTTTCTATACGGAAAAGTTGTTATCGACAACTTTTCTATACGGAAAAGTTGTTATCGACAACTTTTCTGTACGGAAAAGTTGTTATCGACAACTTTTCTGTACGGAAAAGTTGTTATCGACAACTTTTCTGTACGGAAAAGTTGTTATCGACAAATTTTCTGTACGGAAAAGTTGTTATCGACAACTTTTCTGTACGGAAAAGTTGTTATCGACAACTTTTCTATACCGAAAAGCTGTTATCAACAAATTTTCTGTGCTGAAAAGCTGTTATCGACAATTTTTCTGTGCCGAAAAGCTGTTAGCGACAATTTTTCTGTGCCGAAAAGCTGTTAGCGACAATTTTTCTGTGCCGAAAAGCTGTTAGCGACAATTTTTCTGTGCCGAAAAGCTGTTATCGACAATTTTTCTGTGCCGAAAAGCTGTTATCGATAACATTTCTATCGAGAAAATTTGTTATCGACAACTTTTCTATGGAGAAAAGTTGTTATGGACAACTTTTCTATACCGAAAAGTTGTTGTCGACAACTTTTCTATCGAGAAAAGTTGTTATCGATAACTTTTCTATCGAGAAAAGTTGTTATCGATAACTTTTCTATAGAGAAAAGTTGTTATCGATAACATTTCTGTTGAAAAAATCTGTTATCGGTAACTTTTTTGTTGAGCAAAGTTATTATTGACAGCCTTTCTACACGGAAAAGTTGTTATCGATAAGATTTCTACACGGAAAAGTTGTTATCGACAAATTGTCTATACGGAAAAGTTGTTATCGAAAAATTTTCTACACGGAAAAGATGTTATCGACAAAATTTCTGTTGAAAAAATTTGTTATCGGTAACTTTTATGTTGAGCAAAGTTATTATCGACAGCCTTTCTGTGCGAATAAGTTGTTATCGACAGCTTTTCTATACGAAAAAGTTGTTATCGACAACATTTCTATCGAGAAAAGTTGTTATCGACAATATTTCTATCGAGAAAAACTGTTATCGACAACTTTTCTATCTAGAAAATGTGTTATCGACAACTTTTCTATGCCGAAAAGCTGTCATCGACAACTTTTCTATACCGAAATGCTGCTATCGACTACATTTCTATGCCGAAAAGTTATTAGCGGCATCTTTTCTGTCGGGAAAAGCTGTTATCGACAATTTTTCCATGCCGAAAAGTTCTTATCGACAACTTCTCAATGCCGAAAAGTTGTTATCGACAACTTCTCAATGCCGAAAAGTTGTTATCGACAATTTTTCTATGCCAAGAAGCCAAAATAACATAACATTCTGGTCATTTAACATTTTAAGGGAAATTTTTACTGCTCGTTGAGATAACTCGTTTGGTTAGGCAATCTCTTACTGAAACATTTAGGTTATCAGCTTCTTATCCATAACATTGTTATGTGAACTCCTTCTTCAAATCAATAACTGTTCAACATGCAAGAACTGTGATACTGATCTGTAATGATAATCTTTTTGTTTTTGGAAATTTTTTTATCGATAACATTTTTCTAGCAAAAAAAAGTTATCGATAATTTTTTTTAATAGAAAACGATTTTGATGGGTTTTTGATAGTTATGCAAGGCTTGTTATCGATAAATCTTCTGCTCAAAAAAAACCTGTTATCGATATATTATGGATAAGGAATATTTTTATCGGTACATTTTCGATAACGATTTTTTTATTGATAACTTTTTGGTATGGATCTTTGTTTGTGTCGTTCGATATTAGTTGTCGATAAAATATTTGGTAAAATATTAGTTATCGGTAAACCTTTGTTATCGATAATATATTTGGTAAAATATTAGTTATCGATAACATATTTGGTAAAATATTTGTTATCGATAGCATTTTTCTACAAAAAACCTATTGTCGATAACTTTTTATGTTGGCATAATAATGATATACTTATTGTCAAACGATCTTGTTATTGGGATATTGGTTATCGGTACCTTTTTACTCAGAAAGCTTGTTATCGACAACTTTTTTTAAAGACATTTTTTTAAAACGACATTTGCGTCATTTGGAAACTTGTCGTCGATGGCATGTTTCTACATAAAATGCTTGTTATCGCCTGCTTTTCGACATCGATAACATGTTATCGATACATTTACTTCTAATACAACTATTGCTCTGTTCCAGAAGTCTGAGAATCTTTCCTTTACGATATTCAAAAAAAAAAATTGCAAAACTAGTTGATTTTTGCAGATTCTAGAACAGAGTATACATTGGCCATAAAATTTGTTAGTTTTGAAAAAAATATCATTTCTCAAAAAATTGTTTCATTGCCTAATTTGCATCCCTCTGTAATCATAACCTAACCGCCATAGACTACAAACAATAGTTAAAATGTTAATCACCAAATAAAAATAAATAGTTTTCTTTTAAAAACAAATAAACAATAACTACAACAAGTTTATAACAATAAAAAAAACTATATTAAGTTTTCTGGCATATCGAAAATGGGAACTATTTAAATGCCGAACAAAATTTCAAATAAAGCTATTAAAAATACAAATACCAAACCGAAATAAATCCTATTACCGAACAAAACAAAATAAATATTCAAAACCATATAGCTATTACACATGCAAGGATATGACACAAGGGTCTTGTTTGTTTTTTCAATTCAAATCAACTAAAAATCCTAGATTTTAAAAAAATATTTTTTAATTTAAAAAAAAAAATTTTTTAAAAATATTTTTTAATTTAAAACAAAAATTTTTTTTTAATTTAAGAAAAAATATTTTTTAATTTTAAAAAATCCTAAATTTTTTTTCTTAAATTATTTTCATATTAAATTCTTTGAAAAAATGTTTTTTTAATTTAAAAAAAAATATTCTTTAATGTAAAAATATATTTTTTAATTTAAACAAATATTCTTTTTAATTTAAAAAACATTTTTTTATTTTAAAAAATATTTTTTAATGTTAAAAAAATATTTGCTTATATTTTATATTTTAATTTTAAAAAATATTTTTTAATTTTTATTTTTTTAATTTCAAAAAATATTTTTTACTTTAAAAAATCCTACATTTTTTTCTTAAATTATTTTCGTATTAAATTCTTTGAAAAAAAAATATTTTTTTTTTAATTTTAAAAAAATATTTTTTAATTTTAAAAAATATATTTTAATGTTAAAAAATATTTTTTAATGTAAAAAAATATAAATATTTAAATATTTTTTAATTTTAACAAATATTTTTTAATATTAAAAAATATTTTTTAGTTTTAAAAAATATATTTTAATGTTAGAAAAATATTTTTTAATTTTAAGAATATATTTTAATGTTAAAAAAATATTTTTTTAATTTTAAAAAATCCTAGATTTTTTTCTTAATTTATTTTTTTATTAAATTCTTTGAAATTTTTTTTTAAATTTTAAAAAAATATTTTTTAATTTTAAGAAATATATTTTTACTTTTTAAAAAATATTTTTTTAATTTTAAAAAACTTTTTCTTATATTAAATAATATTTTTTAATGTTAAAAAAATATTTTTAATGTTAAAAAAATTTTAAAAAACATTTTCTTATTTTAAAAAATATTTTTTAATGTTAAAAAAATATTTTTTAATTTCTTAAATTTGTTTCATATTAAATTCTTTGAAAAAATGTTTTTTTAATTTTAAAAAAATATGTTTTAATTTTAAAAAATATATTTTAAAGTTAAAAAAGTATTTTTTAATTTTAATAAACATTTTTTTATTTTAAAAAATATTTTTTAATTTTAAAAAATATATTTTAATGTTAAAAAAATATTTTTAATTTTAAAAAATATTTTTTTTAATTTAAAAAAATATTTTTTAATTTTAAAAAATCCTAGATTTTTTTCTTAAATTATTTTCATATTAAATTCTTT